AATGGGCATCCCTGCCGGGCTGTGCCAGGACATGGAGGCTGTCATAGAGACCTATGTCCTTAGTCACTGGGTGTCCTAGGTGAGACTTGAACCTGGTGCATTTGCTCACCAAATGCACCAGGTCATGGTCAGACACTCCTGGATGCACTTCCAGGAGGTGGGGCAGGGTATTCAGATGGCATAAGCAAGTAGTGACAAGGAGCAGAAGAGGGTAGCAGGACCCTGCTGTGACCCATGAGCACAAGCTCTGCATTGAGGTTCCCCTTCCCTCCCGGGTCCCAGCCTCCCCCCCTCCCATGACACTTCAGAGCAGCCTTCTGGCTGCATTACGTTTCCCCCACCTGCCATGGCCAGGCTCCCTGCTGCTGCAGGGAGACGCAGCGACTTATACTCCATGCATCACTGCTGCCTCTGGATAATGATGAAGAGGCAAGAGAAATGGGAGTCTCATCCAGCAAAGTGAAATTTCAACAAGGCTGTGAGAAGCACAGAAAGCAAAGATGGAGCATTCAGGGGGTGAATCTGAGGTCTCAACAAAAGCATGACTTTGTTTACCAGGAAAGCATGCAATGATGGCGCAACTCTGCACAGAAAATGGAATATAGTTCAATGGGCTTCAGAGTCTAGTCATTGCTTTGGCAGTGACCATCATGTTTATCAAAGCACATCCTGAGCTTACCAGGGCCTGGTTTTAGCAGTTCACGGCCCCAAGAACTCAGCCCTGAAGAGAGCTGCCAGACCCCCAACTCCGAGCAAAGCTGAAGTGGTGGCGGCAAAATCTGCACTCCAGGGCAGGGGGGTCTGCTTTATGAAGCCCACAGAGCAAATTGTGTCCTTCTGGAAGCTGAAGTGGACGTTGGACAAACTGAGCATTGCCTAAAAGCCCCAAAGGTCTTCTGGGTGAGTTGCCTTCCCTAGAAGGAGTCACTAATGCCCTGATGGGTGCAAAGGGGCTGGTGGGGAAGCTGAGCTAGTTTCTCATAAGATACAATCAATTTAGAGCCCAGAGCAAAGGAGAATATTGCATCAGGAATCCAGAGTTAAACCTCTCCCTCCTCCAGAAGGAAAAGTGATTTTATCTTCCTTAATTATATTTGGACTGTATCCCAGCCATGTGTTAAGCAGATTTTTATCATGTGAGGAGCACCAGGAGCCCTTTGTTTTGGACAGGTCAGACTAAAACCCATCAGAGATGCCCAGCAAATAGAGTGCAACAGTAGTTCTTTTCTTCTTCTTATTATTTTTTAAAGCAAAGCACAGAAGCTGATGGTCAAGCAAAGAGACCTCCTCTGCCATCTATGGTGGCATCTTTGCAATGAATTTACAGCACTTGGCCCGAAGCTAAAACCTGCAACACGCCCAATAACCATCTCGGCTCATTTGTGCACAGATGCTCCTTCTTCCGGCTTTCCAGCATCTCTGGTGCCTGTGAGGGGTGGAGAACTTTGCCTGCATCTCCTGTTCTGATTTCCACCCCCATAGAGCAAGCTCAAGCTCATAAAGGCTTATTTTGCGCTCTGCTGTCTCTCAGTCTCTATGCAGGGGTTTTAATTCTGTTACAAGGGAAAGCGAAGCTGTAGAGAGCCTCTGACGCCATCCCCATATCTGTGCGCTAGAGCAAGAAAAGCAGACCTCCTCAAAGATGCTGGCTGCTGGCCCCAAGCCTTTGTGACAAAGCGATGGAGATGCCTCAGTGGACCCTGGAGTGCCTCAGTGACCCTGCCCCATTGCTCTGGACCATCCCTACCCAGTTGTGGTAGCCACACAGCAGGGCTGGCCAGCAGGGTCAGGGCTTGTCCAGGCCTGGGAAGGCTTGTCTAGAGCTGGGTGAGTTTGTCCTCATCCCTAACTCCCTCCCCGCCACTCCAAAACCTCAACGTGCCTCCACTGTGATATGGAAAGGGGGGCGCCTGTCCCCATAGCCCATTTGCTTTGGCAAACTGAGGGTGTTGGCGTGGGCATCTCTCCAGAAGGGCCTCTGCTCCCTGCACCCAGGACTGACCCCAAGGCCAAACTACGCAGGGGTGCAGCACGGGAAGGAGCACATTGGCCAAGGCTTGCTTGGCCCTGGGGCATGGAGCTGAGCACAGGTGTCCTATTCCCTGCAAAGTGGAGTCCCCGGAGCGGCTGTGGCCCCTGCTCCCCTTTGCAGGGCTGGTTCGGGGCTGTGGATGCAGCCAGGATGCAGGGATGCAACCTGCTGGGCTGCAGCCTGCTCCGGGCAGGAGCTCGCTGCCTGGAGCTGCTTAGCATGCTGCTGCTATGCTTGGAGTGAGGCCCACAGTGCACCTCTGCACAGCGATCCGTGGGCTGGGGAGGGGGGAGGCCTTCCCTATCCCATAATGCCTGTCTGCAAGGCGATGCTGGGGGGGAGGGGGGCAGGGGAGATGCTCCCCACTCCCACAATAGCAGGCAACGGCGAGCCTTCACGGTGGATTGCCAATGCAGCAGAACCACATCACTTCCCTCTGCCATGCGCATGCTCCAGCCTGTCTCCCCTTTCCCCCCACCAGGGTCTCCTGCTGCATTTGCTTCTGCTCCTCCAGAGCCCTGGCACCTGTCAGGCTACGTCGGCAGTGCTAGCGTGCGGTGTGCATGATATTTGATAATCTGATGTTAGTGCCCAAGAGAGAGGGAGGGGTGTGTGTGTGTGTGCATGCATGTGCACGAGTGCATGTTGCTAGGCCCTACAATGGATTGCATAGTTGTGTATGTTAGGATGCAATGTGTGCACGTGCTGTGTGGTTGGTTTTGCACTGGTGTTGCAAAACTACAGGCGTGCAAGCTGTGTGTGTGTGGTACATGTTACTGCTGCACCTTGGCTCGGGCTTGCTCTGCAGCACAGCCTGGGCTGTTGTACCATGCTGCCCATACCTGAGCCTGCTGCGCCAGCTGTGTCTGTGTTACCTAACGCTATCAAGGGCCCAGCCAGACCCTCTGCTATGGCCTGGCTCCAGGTTCAGACCCTTCCCTGCTGTTCCCCAGTCCAGAACCGGTTCTTGCACCCTCTCTTCTTTCTGTTTTGGGGCCACGCGGGTGCACACCAGCTGTGCAGCCCAGCCTGAGAACAGACTGTCTGGGAGAGAGGGAGAGAGCTCAGCGGGGGGGCTATGAATGTGTGACTCCAGCAAAAACCCTGCTGCCCGGCCACCTTGCAAAACCTCCGGGCTCGAATGTCACCTGCAGGATGTGACTTTGTGGATCGGCTTTCACTGCACAGACCAGCTCAGCGCCTTGGCCATGGGCATTGCTTCCAGCTTGAGACCAGCCCAGCTCTTCCCTGCCTGCAGATGTAGACACTGCCCAGGGACGAGGTCTGGCCATGGTAGTCGTAGTGGCCTCCCACTCCTTGGTCTTGCTCTCCTGCTCTGCCAAAGCCTTGAGACACAGCACCAACGGATGCCCAGTGTGAAGGGCCCAATCCCCATGTCATGGTGTCTACTCTGGGGCCAGTGCCTTTGCCCAGGTTGCTCCGTGGTGCCAAGGGGTGTAATAAAGTCAAGTTTCCAAAGCTGCAAAGGCCAAAGCCAGGCACGCAGGAGGCCTGTTCTCTCAATCTCCAACTACTCGCTGGTATGAAGTCTGCAGTTTATTCCAGGTGCTGATGGCACCACGGGTCTCCATGTCACTGGAAGCCCCAAAAGTCAGGAAGGCAGGAACTACTCCCTCCACCACAGCAGGGACACGCAGCAGAGAGGCTGCCCCAGCAACGCTTCTCCACCTCCAGGTCCCCCCTGTGCTGGAAGGGGCTTTGCCAGCCAGCCCCATGGGGACATGGCAGCTGGGGTCAGGGCAGTGTGGGCCTTCCCACAAGCCCCCCTCCTCATCCAGCAAAGCAGTGCCCACGTTTAAGAGGCGTGACACGTTTTTTGCACCACGGCAGACCGCCGTTTCTATGGAAACAGGGGAAATGTCACCACCTCCAGGAGGAAACCTCAAGGCTGCCACGAGGGAGCCAAAAAGGAGGTGGTGGAGAGGGGGTGGCTCACAGATAGCTGTGTGCGGGCGTGTGCGTGCGCGTGTGTGTGGGCACACGATTGTGCACCTAGGTGTGTGCGTGCACAACCTGGAGGGGACGTGCTGTGGCAAGCATAAGTGTGTAAAGCGTCTCTCTAGCTGGCACGGGTCTCCATAGCTCCATGTCTCTCCAGTTAGACCAGTGCAAGCAGAGGGTTGTCTCTGAATGAGCTGGGACGCGCCCGCGCCCCTGCCCCTGCCCCTGCCCCTGCCTCTCTGGGGTGTGCAGCACTGAGCATCTCTGCTCCCTGCGCCCAGGACTGACACCTGGGCCAAACTAGGCAGGGGGTTGGCCAGGGGCTCTTGGGCCGCACTGATGCCCGGACTGCCAGCAAGCTGGGACAGAGCCCCCGTGCCCTTGCCAACCTGCCCTGCGAGCTCGGTGTGCCCTGGCGCGCCGCTGCAGCCAGGTGGGCACGTCCCGAGCTGGCACAGCAAGGTGGGGTGGGCTGGGGTCTCCCAAGCCGACCCCTGGGAGCTGGCCCGTGCCCCTCCGCAGCGCAGGTGCCGGGGCGG